AAACTAACGGAGTAAATGAATTTTGTATGAAATAGAAAGTTGTTTCTTGAAGTTGGAAAGAACAAAGTTATTCAATTTTTGAAGGAACGTTACCCTCCATCTTTCCTCGAAAAGTTCCTTTATTTTACAGCAATTCAATAAAAACTGAAGGAATACATTTCACGCAATCACACATTGTACAAACATTGTAACGCCATTCACATTTCTTCGTTCCAATTTTTTTTTTTCGTATTACTTCGTTTCCAGAAATCTTACGCCTAAGTCATTGTTTGCGACCATCTATAGCTCAATTTTGAGCTAATATTAATTAATCATATAAATTTTATTATTTTATCAACAGACCTACAAAACTATTTCTGATAACGATCCTTATAAAACAACACACTTAAAAAAAAAATTACTTATTCGAACTATGTTTCATGGATTATTACAGGTCTATTATAACCTAGGAAACGGCCAAATGATGAAAAACCAGTCCCTAGACACTAGTACCTGGCTGATCAACTTTTGCAAACATAATTGAGACTAAAAAGTTAAGAATAACATTAGCGAACCTGCCATTAGGCGAAGATAGTCTAATTGTAAGTTAGAAGTAATTACAGGCTACACAAAATAGACTCAAGTCTAGAACTATTAAACCTAACAAAATAACTACTAATAAAGCTGAAAATTAGCCATGAACAGCTTCTATTAATCTATTTTTTGCCTTGAAAACTAAAAATCACCATCTTATTAATCCAAAGGAACGAAGTTATCTTAGGGTTTTCTCTTGTTTATCTCGGGTCCCCACACCTAGGGGAAAAATCAATGCCGCCGCAAGAAGATACACTTCGATTCTTCCGGTATTGACTCCGATGCTTAAGTCTTAAATTTTTTTTTGGTAACTTGAAAATAAGGTGGTTAACAACAAAAACTAAATAAACCTTTAAACAAATTGCTAGTTGGTAATGATTGTATTTAAAAAGTGATAAATATTATTATTAATACATTAGATTGATATTATTAATAAATTTTACTACTTGTAAATGAAAGTAAACAAAAAACTCAACTCGAAACTGAGTGTAGTGTTAAAAAGGTTTTGTGTGTTAGAATTATGGTATATAAAAATAAAGAAAAAGCTAAAATTATTTCGCATATTTGTTGTATAGTTCTTTGAAATTGAACCTGTTATTATATTCTAAACATTAATTCGTTTAATTTTGGCCATTTTTTTATTTTACTTTTTAACTTGATTGAGATCATACTTCTATTAAAATAAATGCTTTTATTATCAAATATGAGAAGAAAAAAGTTGTCTGAGTGCAATGATTGATTAAGATATTTAATCTGTAATTTAAAAACTGTATGCAAAAATATATATGACTGCATTATAATTTCGCTTTTGTTAATAACTGAATAATGTAAAACACCGGAAGTTCAGAAAAATATGTTAAATTTAACCAATAATGCAATTTTATAATTTAGTTTTTATTTAAATGATCGCACCCCCTTACCAACTCCTTCTCATAATTTAGTTTTGTTCAGAACAATTTTAAAGTATTTTAGTAAAAAAAAATATTAGATTGTAGTTTTTTCAAAATTAATGCAACACTTTTTTACATATTTTTTTTTAAATATTATTAATAACACCGAAGTTTTTTTTTAATTGTATTATTATATATTTACCGAATATTAAAACAATCTGGCCATCAAGGGCCATAAGCATTAGAGCAAAAAGTATCCACTCATATAATATATACATATAACATAAATAAATGAAGATAATTAAAGAAACAAAAATAAAAATAAATAAATAAAATTCTTCTAAAGTTCATTCACATCTATATACTATATTTGTATTTGCCCAAGAGACTCCGAGCCAGACTTTTTCTTCCAAGTGTGAAAGGCAAAGCTTGGGCACAGGAGGTCTCAGCGCTTCTCTTCCAGCCGCGTCACTGGGCTGGAGGCCAGTGGAGACAGGGAGAGAGGACTTGACTTACCATCCAAGTTAGGCATAATTTCCGTTTATACATAGCGTAATGGTACAGCAAAAAATACAATTCACAAATAGTAAGTTTATAACTGTTCTTAAAGGTAGTTATTTTGATTAAAATAGAGATAAAATTCCGTCTATGGAAAACGATTTAGGGAAACAACGGGTTTGTATACCAGAAAATGCAATTAAATATTATTAAATATAATATATTTTTTACAAAAGTCGAACAGACGTTATTTTATAACGCATGATTAAAAACATATATGGAAAGATAATTTCTCCTCTTGGGAGTAGCCATTTCCTATCTTGGCCCAGCGTACTGCAAGGAATCCACCCATGTCCTGTTTTATGCTAACCATCCAGCTGGTACTTATAGCGGTTCATCGTTATATAAATCTGTCCGCTTGGATGCATAAACTGCATCATAGCAAGGGTTTATTAACCTACAAGGATTGGAGGAACATGCTGCAAATTACTGCTTATGCTAAGGAGATTAAGGATCCTGGTCTTCGCTCAAGGCTCCTTCGAATCCTGAAGTACTTTCATTTTCTGTTCGACTTGAAAGCACTGATCATAATTTATTATTCTGAGGTCCTCCTGGCAATTATTCTTACACTGATGGGGAAATAATGAACGAAAGTAAAGGATATTTGAATTACTGGACAGTGCTGACTGTGAGGCCACAAATAACTTTAGAATAGGGGCCCCCTTTTCCACCTTCCCCTCTTCCCCAACTATATGCCCTCCCCCAATGGGAATGGTCAGATTGCGTGCCCGTGGTTCTTGCTGACCCCATGTGCATCACAACATTAAATGACAAAACCAATAACTTATTTATATAATTTTTTATCAACACAACGCAAGTAGTATACGAAGCAAGTATTGTATAAATAGATCAGTACCATACTATCTTATTAATATAAAGTTTATTATACAACATACAGATATATAATTGCCATTTGTAATTTATGTATACGTATACGTATAGATACTTTACTAACACTAATAGATCATGTAATTGAACTGAAAGAAAAATCATAATAGTTTAATGATATATGAATAAAGATTATATGAATATTTAAAGATTTTTTTTTTTTTTTACAAATTTCGTAATTCAAATAGATAGAATATTTAATCAGAAATCCTATAGGTATATATATTGTATAGTATATTTATTATAATCTAAGGATAGAGCTATAACATATTCAAAATTACAAATAATTGTAATGTCCACATTTAATTAGACTATGATTAATAAGATTAAAATAAAAATATAAACATACTAATCTCAAAAATTTTCATTGTTATTGTTTACAATTGTATTATAACTTCACTTATTGAAAACATGTAGAACAACCAAAGTCGGAAATTTTTCTTTTATATAAAAAAGCTCAAGATTATATGCAGAATCAAGTATTTCAGTTTTATTTTTTTTAATTCCTGTATGAATGACCTTTTCTTTTGGATAAACCATACAGGTTACAAGAAAACTGCGAAAAATCATTGATTTTAAATTGATATCGCAAAACAGTTTTTAAATGTCTTGACCGTTGTCACCATTAATATTTAGATCCTTGACAAGATCTAATCTTTTCTTATAATATTATCTCAAAAAATCGTTCTTTTAATTAATATACTTATAGTATTCGTCTTAGATTTGATTATTAATCCAAAACAAGGCATGAACAAAATAAGAAGTTGAGGGATAAAACTGACAGAAGCTTTTAAAGTAAATGAAAAGGTTAATAAAGCTATCTAAAATAAAATAATTATTCGTGGAGAAGGGAAATAATAAAAAATAAGAAATAAAAAAATAAGAAATGACCGGCGAAATTTCTAGGAGATAGAAATAAGTAGGTGATAGAAAATAAAAAGATAATAATTATTTTAAAAAATCTATAGGTAATTGAAAATTATATTTTGTTATACAGGAAGGATATGGTTCGGGGTGGGTCATAAATAGAATTCATGACCGCCAGCCCGGACCATCTTCTTCCTCTAAAATACAAAACAGTCAACCATTAAGTATTCTGAATTATATTATACGTTATACTCTTTATTATATTATACGTTGTCAGTACATTTTGATAAGACTTTACAATATCTCAATTTTCTATCTAACTATTCTATTTACAATATCTTAATTTTACTATTTATTTTCATTTCTTATATAACTTCATATTCCTTTTTTCTGTTTTACATTTTATTCTAAGATTACCATTTTAATACTTATGTCACCTTTTTTGATTATGTTTACTTCATCATTCCACACTTTGTAACGGTTATTATTATTTATCTCGTAGTTCTTACTATTGCCATTATTCTACCCACTTCATTTTACTTTTTTTTTTTACCTACATTATTCATGTTTCTCATACCTTGTTATCTGGTTCTTTTCTTAGCCCTGATGAAGGCCTGAACTTCAGGTCGAAACGTCAGCAAATGTTAAAATAAACATTATTATTTATTTTGCCTTTAATTATTTTTGACTAATCACCCCAACCATCCTTTTCTTCATTATTCACGACAGTTAACCATTAACCCACAATTATTAAGTATTCTATATTTTGTTATATCTTGTTTACAGCAAATTAAACACAGCAAATCTTGTTTAAAAGAAGTAAATTATTATTTTATTCTATAAACAATAAGGATGTAGTGTGTTTGTTATATAAAAAAATAAATAAATTTGATTTAAATCAAGATATGTGTTGATGAACAGAAATGACTTAGAATATGGCTTTAACTACAATAAAATTGGACAAATTTTGTGAAATGGATTGTGAAGCAAATATTACAAGGCTAGAAAGTCAAGTTTGAATAATAAATTAAACATAAGTAGAAGAAGAGATATATTTTAAAATAATGGTATTCAATAGCTGGAAAACAACGAACGTGTGTACAGTACATTTGGGCATTTTAATGGATACATCCCAAACAATATTTTCCAACATAGCTAACAATAACTGAGGTATAAGATACACAAGAGATAATTATAGCTCCTTGGACGAGTGGACAAGACAAAATGCCTAAAGGCGTGAAGTGGCCCAGGTACACAACTCCGGCGAGTTCAACGAACCGAAGCAACAACCAGGTGCGCCTGCCCGCTCTGTACTGTACCCACATAGTTTTTCTAACCAACTTAACCTGTTAGCAATACAAAAGGAGGTTTAACTCCCAAAACTTAAACCAAGTTTATAATTAAATATTTTAATAATACTTGGTACGAAGAAATATTAATAAAATAAATTAATAAAAAATAAAAGAGAGACGAGAAGTGAAAGGACTTTCAAGTAAAATTGAAAGTTTAGCATATATGCATGAAATTATATTTTAACAAATATGTAAATACTAGTAGACTTGTGGGAATAATTCGCAGAAAATTTTGTATAGTGAAGAAACAGAAAAACAATATGGAAATAAGTAGTTTCTAGGTATTATGTAAGGAAGGAATTAATATTTTTTCCTTGGTCGATTACGATATTCCATTTAACATAATAGACCAAAATATTTGTACAAATTGCTTTGCTAGGACCTATTTTTAGACGCTGACTAGAAAGATAATAAAAGTAATAAAGACAAAATAATGACCTGATCATGGAATATTCTAAATTATTAAAAAAAAATAAAATGTAAGAACAAACGAATACCTCTAAGAAATAATAAAGTTAATATATCAGCCAGGAAAAAAGTGTAGTAGACTATACTACTCCTAAATACAATATCTCTAAAGAGGAAGACAATATTAAGTATAAGAAAATTCATGGACTGTATCTTTGTTAATACTTTTCCGATTTTGTTTATTTTGTAAGTAATTTAATAATCTTTTTAATTATCATGGGTAAAATGCATAGTTTTTGAGTTATTCGCAAATAAAGTTTCTTTTCCTTCATTACTTTTTTTCCAGAAATGTGGGGGGGATGGGACTATTTTTCACATGTGAAGAAGAAGAATATCTTCAAAATGAATGGTCAATCATTGGATTTTATGAAGAATTGAGGAAGTTATGGCGTACCGACAAAAAAAGACCTTTTAGAAATAATATATAGGATAAAAGAAAAAAGAAAACCAAAAAGAGTAATAGTAATTTAAAAAAAAAAAAAAAACATAACTTAAGAGGCCGGTTTTATATCTGAAATAAAACTTAAAAATGTATGTATTAATTTTATAATAAATTAATGTGAACATAGATAAAATCATTAATAAAATATATATATTTGAAATAATTTGCACCATATACTTTTTTAAAAAAATTGTAAATACGTAAATACAAATAAATTCGGTCACTATAATAGGTAAGCAAATTAAAAAAAAAAATCTAAGAAACAAAACACGAGTCATTAAAATGATTTAATGAAACAGCAACTTAGATAAGGGAAATTCAATATAAAGAGGGTGGGTCTGTTTCAAGTAAAAATAAAATATATAAATGAAAAAAAAATTATGCAACAAGAATAAAAGTTTATGGCTCTTTACCCAGTTTTTTTTTCTTTATAAAATAATTTTGAATACTGCATACATCGAATTGATAACAGAATTTAGAAATATAGGATTGTCCCAATATTAACGCAAGATTTAAATTAAATATAAAAAACAGTTCTTTCTTCTTTTTTTTTTTTTTTTTTTTTTTGACAATTTAACAGCTTATAGTTTGGGGTTAGTAAAAATGGAACGTAACACTAGCGAACAACGTGTTTTCATTGTTGTACAATATTTCAAAAATATTCAAAAAAAGTCTTGCAGCCACTGAAAAGTTGAGATGTTGTATTGTTGCTTTTGCACTTGAATTCATTGGACTGTTAATAAAGTAGCTTAATAAGCCGGATAAATTAATTTAGTTTTATTATTTTCCACAAGACATTAGGCGCTTAATAAAGATTGAATAGACCAGAAGTGGGCGCATTATGCTGGCGTGACAGTCTTATTGGCTCCTCTATAACAAAATGAACTGGCTCGGCACGAACACGGAGAAAAAAGCTTACGTCACGTGGCGATTCCATTCACGACAAACCTAGAGAGCCTGAAAATTGGTAATGCAGTACAATGAACTAGAATTGAAAAAAGTTCTTTTTTATTTTTCAGTAAAAAATAAACATGTTTGAACTAAATTTCTTTTTTTATTATATTGTAGAGAATTAGAACGACCTGGTGAAATTTGCTTTCTATTTTTGGGATACGTAATCTGTAATCAGTAAATATTAAAAAAAAAGTGTTAAATTACAAACTTTATATAAAAATTCAAGATATTCAGTGAAGTATTTTTTTAATTAAATTTTGATATTACAATTACATTATTTTAGCAATAGAGGACTTCTTTGTAAAGACATATACATATTAAATTAAATTATTGCATTAATATTTATTTGTTAATACAATTAAAATAATATACCAAAAACTCTATAACTATGCCATTTATGAGTACTAAATTTATTACTAAATGATATGGCAGACGCTTATAGGCGCACAAGCCAGTACCGCTTTTCCGCCGATTAAGTACATTTTCTACGGAACTGCTTCAAATATTTTTAAAAGTAATCAGTGTTTTAGAAAGAGAAATATATTCTCCAGATGTTTTATTTCAAGGCGTTTTTCGTTATTGATTGTCGTTTAATTAAAAACGACGCTTGAATTTCAACTAGAAAATTGTTTTTTGAACAAATCGATTTTACTGGTGTTTTTGTTACCTAAGATGATTATTTGTTAATGCTTTTTCATGTTTATTGTTTTCTGACTACCCAGCTTTAATAAAAGACCAATTACACCGATTCTCAGTGACCAAGAAACTAACTTAAGTAAAAGTCGTCAGTCCGCCATGTTTGGATATTATTTTGGAACATTGGATAGTTTTAAATAAATAGTTACAAGGAGCACAACGATATGCCATTTATAGGGATATGGGGGGAGGGATCCCCTGTAGGGGAGTCTTGCCCACAGACTATAAATTCTACGAATTATGATGAAGTAGAGGCAGGCAGGTGTAATCTCTTTCCCAGGTGAAGACCATATGCCTTCTGAAACAGACAGCGCAGCAGGCCTTCCAGTGGAACCACGCTCGACAAACAGGAATAATTGTCATTCCAGAGCCGTATCCTTCCGCGAACACAAAGGCAGCCAGGATGAGCGCATCTCCTGAATAAATGTTTTTCTCTTGGAGGATGTCTGCTACCGGACCAATACATATTTCACACGGGGATGCCGCAACTATTCCCATGCTTCTAGAAATGTACAGAACTCATCAAAATTATATTTTTGCCAATCTTCCTGCACCTGAGCAGCTGAGGAGGTTAATATAGGAAAAGCTTACTTTTAGAAAATTTATAAACCAACCATTTATTGATAGTCAATCCAACAAGTTGCTCCACTTCAATTTCATCAGGCAAGAAATTACCCTCTGCAACGATCCACACACACAACCGGACTGAATTTTACATTAAGATTGCTTAAATTGCTTCATCAGGACCGGAACAAAGAATTACTCCGAAGAATAATCACCATAATGAACTGTAATTACTTAATCAGCCGCGCACAAATCTATGCGCCCCTCGTTTAACCGGATGGCGTCATCCAAAGTCTTCTTCCTTTTAGGATGATTCGACCTTTCTCTCGATACACGAGCTAATGAGACCTCCCAAAATCGATGGTCTTTGATTCCACTAAAAGCTCTAATTGGTGCCTAACAAGTGGACCTTCGAAACAATCTTTGCATGAAATTATTTAATTTTTAAAAGGTATAATCTACAAATTCAAACGAAAAAAAAAAAATCATGGTCTAAAAGAAATTAAAGCTATTACAGTTTTTTAAGATAATTTTATACGAAGCTCGATAGGACACAACTCCAGTTCTCAGAGTTCAAAGTCTTAACAGTTAAAAGCCTAGCAAAAGAAGTTGTTTTAATGAAATGGAGATGGGATGGTCATGTATACAGATTGGACCCAGGAGGTGTTCGAAAATTTCCACGGAATAGATTCCAAGGGATAACATGAGGAGAAGAGGACGACCTTTTACAAGTTGGAGACGAAATAGGGCAGAGTTTTTGACGGTTTGGCAACAGTGGCAAGCAATAGAGATATTTGGAATAAAATAATTAAAACCGATTAAATGAAAAAATTGTGATAATTTTATTTTTTTAAGTTAATTTTTATAAGTGTGAATAATTCTGAAGGAAGAAATTTTAATTCATAATTTATATATGTTTTTTTTTTTTAAACCAAGCTCTTATCTTCATTGGAAAGGCTTTATGTTCTATTAAGAATGTAAAAAAAAAATGTAAAAAAAAAATGTAAAAAAAAGCTTATATTATTATTTTTTAATCATGAAAAGAATACTGACAAAAATTACTAAACAAAAACGAGCATATTATAATAAGAAAATAGGCGAATCTTAAATAACAATGATAAAGTATAGATTGACATATCAGAGTGAATGTACGAACAAACACCATAAGATATTTACAGAAGGTGGCACCCAGTTCGGGAAACACGACCATCGACTGTACTATCGATATATAGATAGTTTTAAACTAATGATAGTGCAAGTGATTGCCAAAAAATAAATTATTCAGATGAAGCTTAAGCAGCATTTTTAAATAATTGAAGAATTCAGTTCAGAAATAAATCCTGATGAAAATAGTGGCGGGAACTTACAATAATATAGATACCACCGAGCTATCGAAAGAGATCAACTATCACTCATCTAGCAGTGTCTCAAATTTTAGATAGTGAAATCGATGTTTATCAGTATAAAAAATACAAACTAATTATACATCAAAACTATACTATTCAAAGAGTATGTACAATTATTTCAGTAACTGGAATGAAGTTTAACACGAAAATGTTCCATTAGAAAACGTTCCTTTCCACACAAACTGAGGAGTTGAAGCCCTGTAAAACGTCGCGTCATGATGAAATGTACAATTTTATATCCACATAAACAGCGGGAATTTCCAGAAAATTTCATAATTGTCCAAAACTCCCACAGGCGGGTTGTTTTGGTACATTTCAAGAGAAAAAATGGGTTAACACGATATTAAAAAAAAACAAAACACAAGGTTACTTTTCAAAAGGGAATTATAATTAAGTATCTATTAACGATGGGTCAAACGTCCAGAATCAAAACTGAAAAATGACATTGAAAGTATACGATTAAAATTATATGTAAAATCAAGATTGAATCAAGAAAAAATAATTCATGTTCTGAGGAAAATATTCCACGACCGGTCCAGAAGTCTATTTCTTTGAGAAATGCCGCAATGCTATAAATTGTTTCTTGAACATAATTTTTTAAAAAATGAAATTTCACTGCAATTAAATAAATAGCCAGCAGCAATCTATATCATTTCATTTGGAGGTGATCTCTTTATTTTTTTTTCGATTTATCTTCTGCATTATATCTTGTTGTTTGATAATTTCCTAAGATGAACAATTAATTAATAATCTGTATTTTTTTTTCAAATGTTAAGACCCAATCGCAGTCGGTGGCAGCTATTAATATTATAAAACAACACAAGCACAATTCAGGTTCTATTCTTAAGGTTAACGGAAAAATTAGATATAAAAAGAATAATGAGAAATACAACAAAACATTATTTTATTTTTTTGAACATTGTACTATTGTAAATACATTTAAATTATAAATAAAGAAAACTATATTTAATTTGTGACAAGTTACTGGACTTGTAACATAATAGAAGGCAGCGATTTATTTGATTTGTTGATTTGAATATTTGATACCTTCGATTTGTGTGATTCCAGTACCGATGGACAGCTATTTATGCTGAGTTAGGCATGACCTGCTAGATTTCAATGTAAGGTTACAAAACACATGGAAAATTAAAAAAAAAAAACATACAAGAAAATATTTACCAATTGAATTGTTAAATTTTAAAACAGAAATAAATATAGATAAAAAGTTAAATGGGTTGAGAAATAACAACATTGAGGTTATAATGATGTTACATCCACCAGATCTATTGAGCTCAAAAATAGGTGGATCGCTGAAATAATTCCATCGATAACTTTGGAACGAACAAACGGATTTATGATGCCCATCAATGACCTTAGCGTAGAGCGTACCTTAGAAACTTGTCCTTTATTTCTATATTTCCCAAAACAGAAATAAACTATCCTAAACAATAATTTTAAACCAAACCTTTAATCTTGTACCAGGGTCAAGAAGAGAGTTTCATAGTTGCACCATCAAAATTTTTAAAGGTGGTATATTTTAATAGGGTTAAACTTCTAGGAAGGAATCATATTTTTGTGGGGTTCGATTTGGAGGAACTTTCAAATCACGGAATAAAGAGAAAAGAATGAACAGAAACAGCAAGTTTAATTGTATTTAAAAAAACTTGTATCACTATAATCCATGAAGGACCTCCTTGGGTTCAGTACTATGAAGGGAAGGTACATCGTTTTTAAAAAGATGAGAGCAATAAAATGTCTTGGGAGGGAGGTGAGAAATGCGGTATCGACCTTGGAGGGATGGATACCACAGTCTTTTTCAAAAGGAGTATCACTTTTGTAAAATTTGTTAGTAATTTTAGTTATTGCATCCATCTAGTAGTTTTAGTTATGTATACTACTCGATTACTTTTTACCAACAATTTGTTCACACGATTTACCCATCTTATTGATATCAGCTTTTCTCCACTATATATTGTATATAATACATTTCAACGGCATTATAATTCAGCTGGCTCTCTTTTCATTATCTATTAAAAGTTTTATATGATTTGAATATCTGATGTTATTCTTCAGCCGTGAAGATGATTGAACCTAGGCAAATGAAACACTTCAATGCCTGAATCTTGATTATATATCATCCATGATACAAACCCAGTTCCTGGCGCCTCGTATACTATTTCCATGAATAGGATGAACATGGAATATTCAATATCATAAAAAAAAGCTTTGTTTATGGAATAACGTTAATCGTTATTTTAAAGTATAGTGGAATTGAAAAAAAAAACCAACCTGCCATCTAAACAAATTTCATACTCCTGGAATACGTGTGAGAAAGCCGAAATATCCATTGACCGAGCGTGGAAGTGATTCCCCGTGCCATCAGCGGCGGTAGGAGATGGTAAGAGATATTAAGTGTAATTTGAGAGTGGCCACAAGGCGGTCCCTTTGTAATTAGTAAGCTATAATGGCGAGGGCGATATAATAGCTTTTTTATACTCTTGGCTACTGCTTAATATAATAACCGCTTTTTATCCCCTTCTCGGCCCTTATCCAAGCTCCTCCTGTCCTCGCCCTAAGGCAGGGCAGGACATCTTAGTCAGCGATGATGAGGGGTGAAATCAGGTTATGATGGATTCTATATTAAGAATCTAAGAACTTTCGACCTCTTCGAAAGCCAAATTTAAAAACCTGAAACAATAGCACATGATCAGACCAGGAGCTAAAAATGGAAAAATATTTTATGAGGAGTTGATCGGAGAGTGCGGTCAAATCAATACTACATTATAGAAATAGTATTGTTTAATTATTATGCCGACGTTTCGACCCACCTTGCAGGTCTTCATCAGGGCTACAAAATACAAAAGGTACATGATGAAAATAAAATAAATGAATTATAAGTAGATATTAAATAAGAAAAAGTTGTATGATAAAGAAATATTAAGATGATATCAGAGATATAGTGGGTGACGAATGTAGTTAAAATAATCACGTATTATATATATATATATATATATATATATATATATATATATATATATATATATATAGAAGATTCAAACAAAAATAGAAAATAAGTATGAATAAAATATAGAACTTACATGCTATATTCTCCTTTGTTTTCTATTTTTGTTTGTATCTTCTATATATATAATACGTGATATTTTAACTACATTGTCACCCACTATATCTCTGATATCATCTTATTATTTCTTTATCAGACAACTTTTTCTTATTTAATATGTACTTATAATTCATTTATTTTATTTTCACCATGTAGCTTTTATATTTTGTATCTGTTGTAGCCCTGATGAGGACCTGCAAGGTGGGTCGAAACGTCGGCATAATAATTAAATAGTACTATTTCTATAATGTAGTATTCATTTTATCGCACCCCCCCGATCAACTCCTCATATTATAACACGGTAAACCATCTCTACATCACAAAAAATATTTT